AATTGATAACAGAAGGCATGTCCAGGATAATTTAAGAATTTAAATTCCACAGACTTTCAGTCCTTTTTGAAATGTACACACTTGTCTCATTGGATGATTTTTCAGAAGCATCTAGATAATTTAGCAGGGTATAAATAACTTTGCAGCTGACAAACCAAATCCAAGCCTGTTTAAATGTTCTTTGGATGGCTGGTCTTCCTCTGGAACCTTTGAAGTCTCGTTCAGTTTCATTTATGAACATCAGAATGAAGGTGGTGCCAATTAGCATCTGTTTCAAATTTATTTCAGGTCTTGCACTGGAACCACAGGTTTCGGTCTGCTGTGATTTCATTTGACATTCTTTAACATTTTTTACACTTCATTTCCTTCTAGAAGTCTTTGTGGCAATCTACCAAAATAACTGTCTTGCTTTTAACCCCTTTTGCAATATTTTGGGGGTTTAGTAGTGCCAGAAGATGAAGGTGTAGCAAGGAAATTTGAAAAAAAATTACTTTAACTTTATTATGATTATTATTAGTATTTTAAAAGCAGAGTGTAAATTGTGCAGTGGTTTTGCATGTTGCATATTCATATACTTTCTTCCATTTCCTTTGGCTGTGAGATGGGCTCCAATGGCACTTACCTTAGGAATTTCAGTGCCATCATTATCAACGTAGCAGAGTTAACTTGTCGTATTGCACATTCATAGTAATAATTCTTTTTGGAGGCATTTATGTGCCTGTGCAGAGCTATTCATTCAATTACCCTGTGGACCAGGCAGGGATGGTCCAATTAATTACTATCTCATGAATATTGAAGATAAAGGGCCAAATCCAGTTAAAGACCTCAGAGTCTCTAAGCTCAGAATTACAACATGAACATTTTAAGTGATTTCTTTACCGTAGGGTTACTTAGGCCGGGCTGTGCATTTTGGCTATTGAAAAAAGTGAAGTCACCTCAATCCAGGAGACTCATTGTGCTGAGTACAGTCCAAGTCCCCCTCCCCTTAGGATCTTACAAAGCAAGTTAGGGCTGGAAGGAGAAGGCTTTTTCCAGCATATCCTCTAGTCTGAAAACATGTATTGATAGTTGTTTTTCAAAAAAAATTGAGTGAGATTTTAAATCACAAAGATGTTATTCTATCTTCTATATTTTTATTTTAATAGTTCAATATCACATAGGGCTTTGGTCTGATGTCCTGTTGTGGGGATTCACAAATCCTTACTTGCTTTATACCTCTGCTCTGGGTACATTTTTGCATATTCCATTGAAACTGAGCTGTGGTGCAGATTGGGACGAAGTGCTCAGTGGGACTCCAGGCACCTGTGCCCACTCCAGCATATCCCACCTGGGAAGTCCAGGCAGCACTTTGAGGGCACATTTGCATTTGTCTGTCCTTTTAGATGCACCAAACTTGCACCTCTGCCTTCAGAGGGAGACAGAGGAGTCTCTTCCTTTCCCTGCTCCTATTTTACCCATTTAATCCAAGTCATCTGCTTGATGATTCCAAAAATAAAACATATATTCAATGGAAATTTGAAGTATCCATGAAAAATGAATGTTCCAATCATTCAATGGAAATAATGGTAAAACTCCTGCTGACTTGAAAGGAAGCAGAGAGAGGCTTTGTAAATGCACCAGTTATCATTTCAGTAAAGGTCTTTATGCATTTAATTTTATTCTAATAGCAGAACAAAAGCCAAAAAAATGTTTAATATCTACAAGAAAAAATAAGGACTCTAATCAGTCCATAGAATTAAAGCGTTATTTTATGCCTAATTAGTTTATAATAGCATTTCCAATGGTGTTTTTTTTTCTTGTAAAAAAGACTGTTGATGAAAATGTCAGAGTTATTTTCAACAGGCTTTTACTTCAGATTTCCCACATGGACATTCTGTTATTTTGTGCTGGCTTTTACACTAATGCCCTATAATTGTGTTTCACTTCCTCTGATTAAACCGACAAGTAATTTGAATGGATATCACTTAGCACATTGATCTGAGGCAGTGACAGGAATAGACTGAGCTGCTCCTTTGCTCTTGCATTCTTTGAAAGTCTGGTTGGAGTTAAAAAATTTCTTTTACTTTTTATTTTGTTTTGGCTTATTTGATCCCTCTTGCCTCGTGGTTGTGATGTCCTACAAATGAACATGTGGACATGAAGCCTGGACTCAAAAGTGAAAGATTAATTACCACAGTGAGGATTGTGTGAGCTATTTTCTTACCCAGGCTTTGCTCCATCTCCATTCATTGAAAATGGGAGCTAAAGTACATGTCCAATTAAACCTCACACTCATTGTTTGCTTGCAGGTGGGGTTTTCACACGTCTTGTTGCCAGACATGTCACTGTCCTTAGAAAGTTTGGCACATGCATGAACCTGATACTGTGTAAGCTGCAGAGTACAGTGTCAAGTAGGATGTCAGCACTGGAAAGCAGCATTGGTTTCACTGGCTGCAAGAAACATCACCCAGAATAACTTCAAGTATTGTTTTGGTGTAAACTTTAATTAACAGTGTTCAGAAAAGGTTAGAGAATAAAGAGAACACAAAAAAAAAACCCCTACCTGGGTAGTCTGGAGGGAACTGGCAAGATAAGGGAAAAGAAAGTAGCAATTAATTGGAAAAAGCATTTCATTCTTTGTCATAAGTACAAATATTGAGTTGGCATTGACTTTGAGCTGCCTACATTGATGAACACATTTTTGATTGGACATAAACAAGTCTCATTTCCTAATGGATCATCCAAAGAATATAAGCATGATGAAATTAAAAAGAAAGAAATGCAGATATAATAGTCAATACACATCTCATGCAGAGATCTGTTAGTGACAGATGCAGCCAACTAGTTCAAATCCTATTTTTCAGTGCTATTTGATAATAAAAGCACTTGTAAGCACAGTTGAAACGGTTCTGTGCCTTCTAGGCACAGATAGAGAGGTGAGATTTTGGGGGGGGGTGTACTCTGAGGCTCTATAATACCTGTCTTTGTGCCATGAACAGTAATTCTGCATCTAAATTGAATGGCATAGTTAGAGTTTCAATATGTTCATAAGAAATGTTCATTAAATGCCTGTAAATGTTGTGAACACTTTGATGAACTTCCAATGGTCATTTCATTTGTCAGAAATGCCTATTTGATTAAAAAGCTTCTTTGCTGAAAAAAAAGCCAATGTTATACACAAATGTTGTCATCAAATGAAGCCTTTTTCTTAAATACATAAACAAACAAAAAAGTCTTTGCTTGTAAACAAACAGCTTTATTTGCTTCTCCTATTCCTCCAAGAGAGTTGAAAAATACTAAAGGGATGTTTCAAAGGAGTGCTGAGATATCTCAGGACATCCTGCATTTAATTCAATGAATAACACTCATCCCTGTGACTCATAAGACATCCTTTAGTCTGAAACCATCTAGGAAGAGATTGGCTACAAGTGCTTTCTAGAGAATAAGACATAAAACTGACATAAATACCAGACATCAATATCACTTCCATTAAGAGTTCTAAGAAGTATTTCCACTAGTCTGTAACAGAGATATAACAAAGATTTAGTCAATAAATTCCTGATGTTAGATGCATGAAATGTTGTCCGTCGCTTGTTGTAAGGCATCCTGAACTTCTCTACCCTCTTTTGTTCCTAGCTGCCTGGTACTGCTTCAACTTTTGATCTGATAACATTTTAACAGAATACATGATGTAAGGCTTTAGTAATAACTACTTCATTACTTGGTAACATTATTGTGTTTATAATAATAGAATAGGCTTTTCTCAAGAGCTTGTATTACAGTGTGTAAATTTCAACACTTTTTATTGACCTAGTCCTTCATTACAGGCTTCCATATTTGAAGGGAAAGAAAAAATGTGTACTACCTCCTTTTCCTCCAGTTATTTTAGATTAAGAGAAGGCATCCAGGAGCAATTTAAAAGCAGATTGCAATTTACAGCTGGAAAGCAGTTGGTGGTTAAATGAGGAGTTTGTAGTGGACCCTTTGCAAGTAAAAGTCTGTGAAGAAATTAAAATAATTTTGAATTCTGGAGTAAACATTTCTGACCTTCTAAGTGGAAGCATCTGCAAGATTTTATTTAACTGATGAGTGGGGAGATTCTCAGCTGGTGTAAATTAGTGTGGCTTCAGTGAAGCTGTTGTTTTTTATAACAGTTTACATCATTCATGTTTCTTTCCTCAGAAATTCTATTTTTTATATTCCTTTAAGTGTAGCAGCATCAGTTTTCTGTACTGACATCTTCTGAACAAAAATATGCAGTTTCTTCTATGAAAACCCTAAAGTTTTCCTCTTTGTAAGCATTGCAAAGGAAAAGATGCTCTTTAACTGCAAGAAATATTCTGCCAAATAAAAATTCTAATACATCTTGTTACAACAGAAAGGAATGAGGGGAAGCTCACAGGCATCATGTCTCAATGGCATCAGAACAAAACTTGAACTAGAAGTAGACTTGCATGCTAACACTCATATCACCTGCATCCACAACGATATAGATCACATTACACACATATTGCCAGAGATTTCTTGAGGGCATATCAGAAAACTTGTCTCAGATTATTAGTCTTGGCTCTTCCAACTACATTTCCTTGTTTTCCCCATTATCAGTGAACTTCAGTTTCACATCAGGATGATGTTGGCATATGTCTTTATCTGAGAAAGCTCAGATTAGGGAAATCCAGCTGTAACTGGAGGGTTTTTTTGCTTTTCTTCGTTAGGTTGTGATGTTTCTGTGCCTTTCCCCATATAACTGGCTTCCCAGTTCTTGGATCATCTTTGTGGCCCCACTCTGGACCTTCTCCAGCCTGTCCATCTCTTTTGAATAGTGAGGACCAAAACTGAACACAGTATTCCAGGTGTGGCCTGACAAGCACTGAGCAGAGTGGGACAATAACTTCATTATTTCAGCTGGTGATGTCTGTTGATGCAGCCCAGTATCCTGTTGGCTTTCTGCCACTGCAGCACACTGGTCACTCATACTGAGCTTGTTGCCCAGCAGGACCCCCAGGTCCCTTTCCACATAGCTTCTCCCCAGCCAGCTGGATCCCAGCCTGTGTTTCACTGCTGGAGCATATTTTCCCAAGTTCAGGACCATACACTTGTCCTTGCTGGACTTCATAAGGTCCTTGCTAGCCCTATCTTCCAGCCTATCCAGGTCTTCCTGCACGGTGACTGTCCCTTCCAAAGTATCCACTTCAGTTAGGAATTCAGTTAGGCATCATAGCAAACTTCATCATGGTTCACTTCTTCCCAGCAGCCACTTATGAAAATGTTAAATAATTTTGGGCCCAGTATTGATCCCTGAGGGATCCCACTTGTGACAGGCTAACAACCTAAGATTGTTACGATCCAATGCTGAATCTAAATTATGTGGTGTGTTTCTTTTAGACAGTAGGAAGAAAGTGAATTATTTTCAGGACCTCAAAATATCATATCCTGAAAGGACAGGAGTATCTTTTGAGGAAGCTTGTAAAAAGGTGACCTTGTGATGCTAATATTTTTTAATTCTCTGGAAGAAAATCATCCAAAACACATAATTTGTCCAAGATACAGACTCTAGCCTGATCCTTAGGAGAACTGGATGGTCTTGGTGGTTATTAAGTAGGCAGTTTATGGCATGTAACTTAGTTTTTTAAGAATTAATCATCAAGTGCTGCAAGATCCCCACCATCGTCAATGGAGAGAAGCAATCCTATGCAATGATATGTACTCCATATTAAAATAAATATGCAAGACAGATGGGTGCTCTAAAAATGCCTGTTACTATATATTGAATATAGAAAGAGCTAAAATAACTAGATTTGATTCAGTATTTCTAGATGGTAAAATTAAATGTGATGGTTCTATCCTGATAGCTGTAACGGCTTTCTCGAATGGGAATATGTGCTACATTGTAATCTTCATTTAATTAAATGGCACAACTCTTAAATGATTTCAGGATGTTCTTGCCTTGGGGAAGAATTTCTAATAGCTGCATGACTTTATCCCCCTTCCAAAAAAAAGCCCTAAACAATGCATATGTTTTAACTATTGAAAATCAATTAAATTTGTATGTTACACTTGCCTTGTCACTTAGGAAAGTCTCACCTGTTTCCTTCTCTGAATTTTTGGTACCTCAGAATGCTGTAAAATCCAGTCTTGGCTAGTAGCTAGAAGAGTAGGACTATGTTCTCACCACAGTGATCTTGGAAACTAGTTCAGAAATACACAGAAATGCAGAAATATTTGATGTATCTTCTACATATGATGGCTTAGATGTCAATATGTGATTATGGGTAAATATCAATTAATAGTAGCAGCTGCCACGTCGGAACCAGTATGATCAAGCCCTAATCCTAACTGGTGTTTCAAATCAAAGTGCTGTCACTGATTGTGTTTCTGAAAATCCTTGGTTACTGACAAAAGAAGTAGTAGTTACAATAGTGAAGTATGCAAAACAAGAAAAATAACAGCCACAAACCAATCAAAGTCAAATACTCCCCTACACTCAAGGTTTCCCACTTAGGAGACGATAAAGAAGAAACTATACATGAGTGATATTAAACAAACCACTTAATTCAATGATTCGCCACTTGAAGGCATTCAGATATTGTGTAGATGTGGCCTGCATAAAAAACATATATAAAATATAACAGAATCTTCTTCAACCATTAATAGATACAGTTTTCATTCTTTATTTTATTACATACTTAGTTTTAATTATGTACAGATTGAGATAAAACTTGCTTGGATCCAGGCCAAGGATAAGATTTGTGCACCTCAGGTACTGATACTGTGTCCTTCTCATTGTTCATTTGCATTTTATTGACTTTATTTGCTGTCTTGGATTGAAAGGATGTAGCTTCCCCAGCTTTCTGCAAAGTTATGATCATTTTTGCTACACTGGAAGCAAATACACTCACTGGTCACAAGGTAATTAAAACTGCTGAAAGCAATTGTTTTATTTAAAGAGAACTCTTTGTCTGCAACATACATCTATGAACAGATTATTTAGTGAATGGCATTCTACAACTGAGGAGTATTGTGGAAGGCCCCGTAATTCAGTGTTTTACTGCAGAGCAACAAGATACTGTACAAACTGGGATCTCTGTGCATCAAAAGCAGTGTGGGCAGCAGGTCAATGGAGGGGATTCTGCCCCTCTACTGTGCTCTCATGAGATCCCATCCAGAGTGCCACATCCGGCTCTGGGGTCCCCAGCACAGGAAGGACATTGTCCTGTTGGAGCAAGACCAGAGGAAGCTACTAAGATGATTAGAGGGATGGAGGACCTCTCCTGTAAGGAAAAGCTGCGAGAATTGGCACTGTTCAGCCTGGAAAAGAGAAGACTTTGGGGTCACCAAATTGCAGCCTTCCAGTACAATAAGAAAGATGTAGAGAGACTCCTTATAAGAGCTTGGAGTGACAGAACAAGAACAATGGCTTCAAACTGAAAGAGAGTAGGTTTAGATTGGATATTAGGAAAAAGGTTTTACAGTGAGGGCAGTGAGACACTGGCACAGGTTGCCCAGAGAAGTTGTGCCTTCCTCAACCCTGGATGGGGCTTGGCACAACCTAGTCTAGTGGAAGGTGTCCCTGTCCATGACAGGGGGTTGGATCTAGATGAATTTTAAGGTTCCTTCCAACTCAAACAATTCTATGATTCTATGATTTCTGTCTTATCCTTTCTTTGTGATGACTCAATTTTTCTCCTTTGCAACTGGCTAACCCAGGTCAAAAGACCTATATAAACAACATTTTTTTCACCCATTTATGCCAAATTCTCATTTTTTTAATTCTTCCTGAAGAAAAAAAGGAAATTATTGAGAGGAAAATCAATGTATAAATTTTCATTCCACCGGAGGTGTTTTTCTAGGAAAATTGAAGCTAGAAAACAGGTGGTTGCAGAACCTCCAAAGTAGTTACTTTGAATAAATTTTAAATACAAAATAATATATAGTAATAGATACAAAGTATAGATGAAATCACTAAGTAAAACAATAATTCATGTTCATACCACACTCCATAGAGACTTCTTGCCATTCAATTTTTCCTTAAGTTTATTTTTTTAATATGTCTTCGACTCATCCACAAAGGAACCACACAGATTTTGTAAAACTCATTTTCATGACCCATCTCCCTAGCAAATAGCTAGGATTTTCAACTTCCAGTGAAATTTAGTCTCTATTTACTTCTCCCAGAATATATAGTTTAGCCTTTTCCTGACCCAAAATTTATCACCTTCTGTCAGAAGGAGAATGTGTATTGCTATGCTTAAAACTAGATTTCTACTTAAGAACACTGATGCAGCCTATGTCTCTTGTTCAAAATGTGTTTATTCTTAGTACTAAGCTGCTTTTCATCACTTTTAAAAGGTCTATAGAACATGGGCATAGTTTTAAAAGAGTGATGTTTTCAACATTTTAAATAAAATATTAGGACAGATATATTTTTGAGCAGCAATTTACACTTTAATAAAACATTGTGATATTGAAGTTCTGAATAAACTGTAAATAATGGAACCATCTACCTAAGGGATGATGAAAATATAAAAATATATCAAGGTTTGGTAGTTTTTGGATCAATAGATAATTTTTCCACCTGTCTCCTTGAGGCTAAACTACTTGAAACAGCAGTGAGGGTGTCTTGGACATGCAATACATGATGTGTTAGGAGACTGAGCTCTCCCAGATATTTCGTCTTATATCTAAAACAGCAGAAAAATCAGAGGAATGTGTGAAAATAGTGGTCCCAAAAATTCTTACATAGTTTTAGGCTAATATTATTAATATTATCATTGTTAAATTGAAACACTGAGCTTCTAAATTATACACTTTAATGGAAAAGGATGCTACTGCTCTCTAACGTTGTCATACATATTGGGTTTTTGTCTGTGAGGTTATGTTGTAGATCTGCAGTTGCCTTTCTGTGTATTTCTTGGCACTGCATCCCCTTCTTTTATGGGTTACTATTGTCAGCCTTGTTCATCTGCATTGATTATAATTTATTTCTTATTAAAATTGCGTGCTCAAAATTGCATCTCACACAACTCCAAGTAACTATAAATTTCAACACAAGGAAATTCATTACATAGCATCAATTTTTATAATAAGAATTTTGGTAGTAACAATTTTATCTGGTTTATGTGCTGAACTTTAAGTTCTGTGATTTCCATGTTGGTGATATCTGGAATTATTCAAAAGTAGCAACACAATTCTGGCCTGGACTATCTTCTTCCAAGGCTGATCATCTCTCATCCAAAATGTGCTATGTCTTGAGGCTGATTGGCCTGACTGTCCTTGTCTTGATCCTGTGATTCTCTCTAGGGTTAGAAAAGAGCGTCCTGCTCAGTACTTCAGGCTGATCAAAAGAGTTCTGCGATGAGCAAATTGTGGGATATAAATGTCCTTTAAGAGTTGTGACTAATATTTTGGGAGTTTTATATTTTACTCTTAACAGTATGAACTGTGAACAACTCATGAAAAGAAGAAGAGCAAGGATAGGAAAAAGGTCTTTTTTTCAAAAGGAAAAACAGTGCTATATCACAGCAGAGATCATTCTGGCAGATGCTGGAATTTCTTACCATCCTTAAATGCTTTTTGTTCTTAATTTATTTCTTTTCCTAACTAAATGAAGTTGAAGTTCCCTGTATGATTAAGTGTTTACTGTAATATTATTTAGTTTTAACTGTGAAGCTTTTCAGACTTGCTTAATATAAAGAGGGCAATGGTTGTATTCTGTCTTTGTTTTATTGTTCAAGTAATATTGTTGACACTGATTGCAAGTGTAGGCATTTTGTAGAGTAGTAGAATAGTCAGTACCTAGATTTCTTCCACTAACTGGATATGACTGTGTTGAAAAACTAGTCAACTTCTCATGCCAGGTGGCAAATCAGGCTTAAATGTTCTTGGCAGTTATATTCAGGGAGGTGGATCTTACCTTGCATGATCTGTAAGGGAGACTGCAGCCTTGGGGTAGAAATTCAATGGAAGACCCACTCCTGACCTGAGGGACTCTGCAGCCAGAGCAGCTCCTGGTCAGGAGACCATGGAAAATAGCTCATCCTGACCAACTGTGTTTAAATCAAACAGGCAGGGAAAAGCTCTAAGGAAATTAGAATGGAAGTAACACAGACTGACAAAATTGTTTGGAATTATCTTGAGTACAAGCAGTATGCAAATGCTGTTAATGGACACAAGAAATCAGGGACTTGATTAATATATTCTCCTGTAGCAAAGTTCTCCTCATTACACCATGAATAGATGTAATTCTGTCCATAGGAACTCTGAATACCAATATTTTGGCATTCAGGGAATTCTGTGCATTTCTCCTCCTCCTCCTTTTAACCCAATGCCAGCAGCAATTTTTACTTCCTTTTTATCCCAAAGTATCTTTCTTCTCTCTGCGGAAAAAGATTAACAGAGAAATGGCAAAAGGCTCAATACTAAGCTTTATAGTTTTTTCAGGAAACCATTAAATTCCTTTCTATCCCTTCTAGGAAGGAAGGCCAAAAATTTATCACAGAGCAACAATAATATAAGAGTATTTAAGGACTTAAATAAATAAACTTTAATAAACTTATATTTTCAGCACAGAACAGATGGTGTTTGACAGACCTGCCTGAAGCTATGTAGCATCACATGCCATGCTAGTTATTTTTCAATAATGTGATTTACTAAACAAATTTCTCCTTCTTTGAAATCAGATGGTAAAAAAAGAGTTTTGTATACAGATTAAAAGGCAGTAGCCATTTTATAAGTAACAGGTGAAGGACACTTAAAATTCCTGGACAAGTAAAAATTGTGCAGAACATGAGACTTCATCTATGTATGTGTTAATAAAATATTGCCATTGAGAGAGCTCAACTGGATCTCTGTCCAGTTTGTTTGGTAGCCTGTTTTCCAGCACAGACTGGTTCATCCCATTTAGCAGCTCAGACAGCGTGTAGGCATGATTTGGGCAATTGCACAGAGCAATATAGAACAGGCTTTGTTCTGTTTTGGAGGGAGAAGGGACCTGCCAGATGGATATTGACAGTTTGTGTTGTGTGGCCTAAGGGTCACAGAAGGGTTCCCAGTTGTTTTGCGTTTCACAATAGGATGTACCTTAAGGGCCACTGTGTATGTAAACTCTGTTTTATTTAAAACTAGACTGAAAATGTTACAGGATAAATTTGAAGAGAGGCTTAGGAGAGGTCCTAAATGTAGGCTGTCACAGTTCTACTCTCAGTGGCAGTTTCCTCCTATAAGCAATACAAAACCACCCAGACTAGGAACTTATATTACAAACTTTTATGTCGATCTCAAAATTTCTGCTTTTTGCCACTGACCAGGAGCCTTTCCTCCTAAATGGTGCAGTTTATCAAATGCTTAATTTATTCAGTGGCACTATATCCTGTAGCTGACTACCCTAGAAGTCCTAAGTTCCTGTTCAGGGGCAACTTTCTGACTGCCTAAATGTGTGCCAAGCATTAATCGCTTGACCTCACCATGTTGGTGGTGAACACAAAATACATCTGCCCTGCATGAGATCAGTGAAGAAGAATTGTTAACTAGTTGTTTTGTTTAAGACCTGTAAAATGCCATCCCTATGTAGCCTTAAGTGTCATGGTGTTTGTTCTTTGGTTAATCTCGTGATGTTAATATTCATGGCAATTTGCCCAGTTAAGCAAATTATTCCCTGATTTTATTAGAAAAATGAGAGTCAAACAAAGGTTATCTTTGCCCTAGAAAAAAATATCTTAACATATTTCATGTGGTTATGTATCTTTCTAAGCCAGTCCATTAAAGCTTAAACAATGAGAAGGAAGAGAAGAATTTAAACAATATTAAAGAAATTTAATGATTTGACTGGGAAAATAAAGGATCCCAGAACACTAATGTCGCCAAGGAAACTTGGTTCAGCAAGTGCACAGCACACAGCTGGAGTAATATTCTTTCTAAGTTTTCTTACAATATATCTTTGTAGTCTAACAAACTAGAACCTGGCTGAGACTGGTTCATCTGGCAATCCCCATTGTGCCATTCTGACAGTCAGGAGAGGTTTCCTATACCAAACTTATATGCTTCAGTTTTACTGTGAAATTTCAGCTTGAAGAGCAAGCTTGATTGTATGCACATATGACAGCTGCTGTCTTGAACAAAATACCAGGGACTGAATTCAGGACATCTAAAAGTAAAAGCCTGTGCTGACATTGCTTAGGCTAAAGAGCTGTAGTTCTTCAGCTGGGGACCAGAAGAACTCAGTCAAAGGATGAACACAAGAAAAGTGAGATAAAAATATCAGCGGGTGACACAGATGCCTCTTTCTGTGTCTGCTTTCTCTCTCTGTTTTCGGGTGTCAATTTGTATGATTAACTCCAGAATTTGCAATGGATTCTGTTTAAAAAGCTAAGAGGTAACTTTATGTTTTGTATTAAATTCTGGTGGCACTTGATATCGTTATGTTTGAATTTCTAAATGAAAAATGGGGATGGGTTTTACAGATTTCTAAATGATCATAAAAGCTTTGGCCTCGTGTCATAATTAGAATTACAGGCAATAATAGCAAGCAGGCGTTCTCTGGAATGAATGCTTAAAGCAAAGACTGGAACAGAGGCCACTTGCCAATGTGGTCATGTAGAGCTGATAACTGGGCTGCACATGTGAGAGATCATTATTGAAAGGGTATGTTTAATCCCCATCCCACCCCAAAAGTGACTTCTCAATAGTTCCCAGAAACGTATGCTATTAGCCTCAGCTGGAGATAGAAAATCGCTCTTAATCATATGCAAGGAACAATTCTAAATAGGAGTACTTGAAAACAGCCTTGGGAAGGAAAGAGTACTGCCAGAAAGAATGGAAGATCATTTTGATTCTTGATGAAAAGCTATCAAACAGAGTTCAATGTGTAAGAGATGTGACAAATCTTTAGAGAAGCAGTTTTCTCTTAAGAGAAAGGTAATACAGCTAACAAAGTCACTTAATGCTTTTTGTGTCATTGAACCTAAAAGAAGTATTTTTTCTCCATTGGTTATGAGCCACAAAAAGCTTTTTTCCCCCTTTTTAATCTTCATGAGGAGTTTTGCTTTGAGACTTCCTGCAGGAAAGTGTTTTAAGTGGAATTCTTCTTTATACTGCACCTAATGTCTACCAATATGATTCCTGTTACAGGCGTAGGGACCATTTTCCTTCTGTCCTCAAGCTGTGTTGCTGCTTATTATCATGTTTAACATTCCCAGTGCCTGGCAGGATGGAGATTAGAAACTCTTAATATTCGTTTTATAGTGAAAGGTCTTGCCAGATTTTTTGGAGTATTAGCTATAATATATGCACATAATTTATTGGTGGAAAAGTTCTGAACTCTCCAGTGAGTCACCTTAATCTTTGTCCTTATCACTTTAGGATTATTTTAAAATAATCTCCTATGCCTCCTGCACATAAACATGATAAAAACATTGCATTGGAAATAACAACTTGATGGAAGCAAACAAAAAAAGATGCACAGATTTTGTTTGATAAATCTTTATCATTTTGTAAAATAAAACCTTACTATTTTGTAGAAAGTGTATGTTTTGTGAATTATTTCTCTCTAATTCTAAAATTTTGTTTTTTAACAGACTGGAAGGAAGGAGAAGGGAGACCCACTCAACATCGCTATTGACAAGATGACCAAGAAAACACGTGACCTTCGAAGACAGGTAAGCTATGCTTTTTACAATGCTTCTTGATTTTCCAAAGAAGTCATTGCTTTTCAACTTCAGACTAGTTTTGCCACATTTAGAGGTATAAAGAATTTGTCTCCTTATTTAGATATGACACTACATTACACAAGACATTGAGCAAAGTTGTAGTATTTCCTGAGACAAAAAATAAGGGAGACTGAAATGTGTTCCAAGTGAAATCCCCAATGGTCTTACTATGTGGGAGGGTAGGCAGATTGGCCAGACCTTCACTGCCTTTGCAGCCCAGCAACCCCAGTCAAAAAAACACTGGCATATGTGCTTATTTGTATTTCTTTGAATACTCTCACAGAAATAACAGGAAAGATGAGCAGAATATGAAAAAAATTGTAAAAGCAGAATATTTTCCAAGAAAACTTCCCAGGTAGTGTAGTAAGTAAAGATCTTATGAAGATATGGAGGAGGCTAATAAATAACGTGTTGCCGGGAGGGTTAGTGGCTACCCCATCCCAGGGAACATTCAAGGCCAGGCTGGATGGGGTCTGAGCAGCCTGGTCTGGTTGAAGATGTCCCTGCTCATTGCACTGGTTGACCTTTAAAAGTCTCTTCCAATCCAAACCATTCTATGATTCTATGAATAACTGTAAAACATAAAAGGTTGACTTTATTATATTACATTTATCATTGTGTTTTGTAATATGACTGAAAGATTAATTGAAGAAGCTTAGATGGAAAAAAACAGGAAGGAGATTGGCAAAAGAAAGGGAGAATTCCTCTATAGGTTTCTCTTTACACCTTTAAGGCAAGGCAGGACAGATTGCCTCTTTTTACATCTTTTTTTCTCCTTTTGAGAGGATCTCAATTCTGCATTTTCTGTAAAAATAGGATTCTCATTGTTATTGTTATTATTATCCAGTTTATTTATTATTATTGTTGTTATGATACCTGGCCAGTCAAAGGTTCCCTCTGTAAAAATCATTCCAAATCCAGAAGACCGCAAGACCAAGCAAAGATTTAAGCGTATCTTCAGATACATATTTGCAACATGATAGTTTCAGAAAGTGTGGCCCCTATAGGCATTTTGTAATCAATGCTCTGCACTGCCAAAACTCAGCTCGTTTCAGCTCTTCCTTAACTCTCAGAAAATGTGTTTTAAAATCATATTCTCAGATCTCATTTTTCCAAATAATAAAAGCATTGCAATGGTCTTACAGACAATATGAATCATAAACTCTCCTATATAAAGCCTAGCATCACATCTGTTGCTCAGCAAATGACAGAAGAAAGATCTCTACTATTCTGACCTCCAGATTTGTGGGATCCTCAGTTCTGCAGTGGAGCTGGTACCATGTGTTGCCTCCCACCTCTGTTCTTACTGCTTCAAGGAAGTAGCAGACTAACACATGAGTTGCTGTTCTGTGTGAGGCTCTCAGCAGTTGCCTGAATTACTCATCTCTAAAGCCAAATTTACTCCAAAACGTGATATAAAAATGGCACCTTTCTTAATAAACTGTCTGCTTCCCATGTATATTCAGCCCCACGGAATAGTCAGTCTCAGAAAGGTTGGAGTTCTGTATGTGAGTAAAGTGAAGCACATATAGTATTCTCCTGCTTGGAGACATAGCTTTTAATATAGTTTCTGATATTTATGAAAGTTAATCACGTAGGTATAATGTTTATTAAATTGTGGCAGTTGCTAGTAAACTAATCAAGATTAGATCATAATTGTGCTGGGTTTTGCACAAACACAGAGGAAGATGGAGCCTCTGCTTTCAACAATGTGCATTCTAACTATAAATCCTTATCCTTCAGAATCATAATCAGTGTTCTGCTTCATCACATGCATAATCAGCAGTATACCTGCGTGTGTCTGCCCAGACCTGCCCGTACCCTCCCCCCTAAATTTCAGAATGTGAGGATGTCACTGAGGACTTGGTTTAATGGCTGGGGAGAGAGCCTTGAAGATTTAGAAGAAATGAGCTGCAGTCGAGATTACTGAGTTATTCTGTTTCAGACTTTCTATTTTGGGATAAATCATGTGAGAGACAACCAACTTTGAAAATCATAATGCCTTTTGTTTTTAATGAATCCCCTTTAAAGCTTGCATTTTGGACTTTGAGGTTTAATGTTAGCACCATAAAACTAGACAATCTACAACATACATTTTTGTGATGAAGAAGATATATATTTTTCATTTGGTAGTTAGACTCCCTTGCAAGTCTTCAGTAATCACCCATCTATGACTGATTTTTCTTTCTTTCCCCAGGTTACTTAGCTCTTTATTTCTGAGATTTGATTTCATTATCTACAGAACATGCAGACATGTGAAATGATTGTGGATGGAATACACGGTGCTAAAATTCCTCCTCACAATTTACAGTCACTTCAATATTTCTTATTCTGATGGAATTACATCTTTTAAACTCATCATTTAAACTCTCCTGGGCATTGGGAAACTATTATGGAGATCTAATTATATTTCTTACTATAGACTGCCAGTAAGAACATCAACCTAAGTCAGAGTGAACAAATTCTTGGAAGCAGATGTCTCACTAGCCCATAGCCTACTGCTGCCATTTCTTACTTGATTTTCATAGGATCACAGAATGGTTTGGGTTGGAAGGGACCTTAAAGACCATCTAGTTCCAAGCACCCTGCCATGGGCAGGGGCATATTCAACTAGCCCAGGTTGCTCCAAGCCGCATCCAACCTGGTCTGAAACGTTTTCAGGGATGGGGCAGCCACAGCCT